AGCCAATTGTGTAGCTTTGTGCCTAACAATAGACAATAATACTTCTTATTTTGTATGTTCAAAATTATTCCTAATATTTTTGGTTTGAATGTGTACACATCTGCCAATTTTGTAAATATTTAAATATATATTGTGCAATTTTCTGCTTGTGCTATTTTAAAACAAATTGCCCCCCATGACCTATAAACCTAAAAAAAAAAAACGGGTTTCTATACTCTTGGTGGGCAAAGCAAGATCTACCAAAATGTTATTATAACACATTTAAAAAAGGACACTCGTAAGTCACACGTAAAAACGTAGTAAAGTACGATATCCGTAGAGTGTTACCAAACAGAATTTAATTTAATTGTATCTTTAAGTGTTAACGATTTGTGTATGAAATCACATGAAGCATGACTCTAATGTACTCTGTAAAATATCAGTAAAACCGTTACAAGTTATTAAGCACGGATATTGAATAATTTTTGATTCTGTAATTACACTGGAATATATATTGTACCTGTATGTAACTCTGGAATTTCTTTTTGAAGTGGTTAAATCTCCTAAATACAGCAACTGACCAAAGTTCTTACAGTGGTGTAGTAAAGTAATTATATAAGTTAAAAGAGATCGTTTCGAAACAGTTTAATATCTGTTTCCACGTGAAATTAGTCCTATCGTACTACTTCGTAAAACAAACATGTCGGAGAAACGTTCAGCCAGGTTTAAACGGTAAATATGACTGGAGTTGAATAGCTGTTGATTTGAAATGCAAATAAATTTGCCTTTTTTTTTTCTAGTAAAAATAACACGTGTACCTTTCGAAGTGTTAGCATATATAATACAACAACGCCAATACGCACCCGATTCTATGCGCCTCGACGCCTTGTATCGGTCTTAAAACATGGCTAGATTATTACTATTTTATTCTAAAAGAAATTAGAATAATGTCTCCCAAAAATTTACCAAACAAATATGTTTCGATAGAAACCAAAAATATATCATTTCACACAAAAACAACAAATCTTGATATTCGAAACTAAACTATTATAATATATATACGTGACACATTTGTTGCGCGTGAGGTCATACGTGCCGGAAATTTTTTTCTTAAACGTATCATCTAACTCGGAATAATTTTGCCATTTGAAATTCTATAATGGTATATGTACACATTCTGTGTTTCCTTTTATTATGTATTTGTTTTTGATTTCAGTATGTCCTAATAAGGTGGCTAAACGGAAAGCGTTAGAGCTTAACGCTAAAATTCGAGATTCAGTACCCCACAGTGAAAAAAGCCCTTTGTATAACTTTGCACTTAGCAGTAAACAAACCAATTTGACCTGTATTTGTCCCAAACTCTTATTTCATTTGAGAAGAATACTTAAACTTATACACTTGACTTTTATGCACTTTACACCTTGATTTTTTTTCCTGACTTGTTCAACATTCAAATTATGCTTTTTCTTATTAACACAGACCCTCGAGAGTGGAATGAAATGGATGTCACTCACTGGTTAAATTGGGCAATTCAGGAATTCAGTCTGGAAGGAGTTAACCTTCAAAACTTTAAAATGAAAGGGAGAGAGATGTGTTCCCTGGGTAAAGAACCATTTCTAGCACGTGCTCCACCATTCATGGGAGACATCTTGTGGGAACACTTAGAATTACTACAGAAAGGTAAGAATGAGCACCAAGAGAACATTTTCTGGTTAAGAACCTAAAGTATATATTACTATGTTATATTTTTGTAAAATGTTTGAGATGTTTACATGTTTGTAGAAAATTGAATACGTCGTTTCTCATTTATGCGGTTTGCTATTTAGAAAAACAAATATCAAAATACGAACATAATTACGTTTAGTATTTATTACACGTTTCAAAATTCTATAATTCGGTAAGCTAGAGGTACAAAAATACGTAATTACACCAAAAATGTGACATAATCTATAATAAACAATAGCAAATAATTTGAGTACAAAAAAAATAACAGGAGAAAATAAACAGTATGTAGCGTAAATGAAATACGTCATATTAGAATATATTTAAATCAAATAAGGAATGTGTATTATTTACGTCTTATGAAAAAATGAATGGATTACAAGTATCAAAAGCTATTGAGTTACGCAAAAGAGGTTATCATATGAATATACGTGACCCTTGAACCCGAACTAAATGAAACTAAATTATTTTTTAAATGATAAAGTACTCTGTAATAAAGGGAACTTAACTCGAGTGACTTTCTGAAATTAGTTTGTACGAGTTTGAAACCTTGTGAATTGGGAATGACAAGTAACAACAGGAAATGATGCTAGAACTTTTTCACGGGAAATTATTAACCGAATGTTCTATTTATTGTTTTTGTGTTTGTATTTATGTTTACTAGTAATTAGCATCTACACATCCAGATTTATTTTATTAAACTATGAGACAGTTTATCAAAGAAAAGATGTATTTTTTAAAAGTTATATGATAATAACGCAAGATCGAAAAAAATACAAATCCTGGCTCCGTTAATATAATGTCTATTAAAAAAAATCATAATAATTCTGCGTGTTAAACTGTATGAAAAAGGTAATGTGTTAAAAACCCACCATTGTACAGTTTGTAAAGCGTAGAATTGCTAGTCAAACAGACAATTGTAACAATAGGTTTGTCAGGTTTTATAGCGCCGTGATTCTTTGCAGTAGGTGTCTGTGACTTTTTGGCTATAAATTTCAAAAATAAACGGACAGTACACAATCCACTTGTTTTAAAATAATGTATTCCAAACAAGTTAAACTTGTGTACAAAAATTCGTTACGCCATTGGTTATCACACTTGTATCCAGAGCTTTAAATAATTATAATTTACGTCAAAAGTGTACACAGGCTGGTTTAGTTTCTGTAGAACCCAATTGACAAGACAAATTATTCTCCTCTATCTCTGTTATTACAATACAAGCTATGAAACTCGATTTAGAAATCACGCGTTGCGGCTAAACCCACACACAGTCTAATTTCACTTTTTTCACTTTTACTAACGTACTTTAACGCTTGCACAATATAAACTAAATACTACTCTCGTATTAAACTTAAAATGAACATTCGTATATATATATCTAACAAGGTTTATGTTTTACCAACAAATCAAAGCACGTGTACATCGAAATCATACTGAAATTACGTTATTGAGTATAGTATACCAAAACGATCTTGATTATGCAAGTCGCCAAATCACATGATAACCACAACCGATATAGAATCGCGGTAAAACAGCGTTTTTCATAACTACAATTCGATATTGTAGTTTCGTAGAAAGTTTAAGGCTACCAAAAATTTATTACACTTTTGAGACAGGTATGTAATAGCCCTTTCAGACTTAAGTTATTCATACACTCAGATCTTAATATGTTCAGATCGGGGACTTAGAATTTTCGAGACCCTTTTACTTAATAATATTTGAAAACAAGGGAAAATGGGAAAAACTCAGACCACCAGCATCATCCTGAAAGAAAATTGAAAAATGTCTATCCCAGCCGTGGTAAGAAAGGTGCAACGTCTTGTAACAGTTTAGGATCCATAAGCACAAAGGTCAATGGCAAAAGCCGTCCACGTGACCCGGGCAACAGTAAGCAACATAATCAAGTGGGATCTCAGTCTAGAAACGAGGCCAACAAAGTATTGTTCACAAAAATAAGGCATCCAGTCATATCTCAACCAGCTGGCTGGAGAACTAAACTTTTTCGTACTAATCCGTACCAAGACACACCGGACGCAGCGCGTATGTGTGTGTGTGTGTGTATATATATATGTAATATGGCCTATTATTGGCCTTCATTTTATGGACATGTTAAATACAGGTCGTTTGTCAAACATCAAATTGTGACACCTGCTTTTCATAGATATTCTCACACAGATCTTTATATCACACTAGTTTCCACAATCGCCGGTATCTGTGGCTAGCATCTATATCTGTAAACAAAAGTTTTGTTCCGGTTCTAAGTTTGAATTCATTTGGTACGGTGTTTATGTGACTGACTGAGACAAATCGCGAACATATCGTAATTCCCAGTTCTATATTTTCTATCCGGTACTCTGTGTTTATCAAACCTTCCGTAACTGTGTAAACATTCCATTGGTATATTACTCACTTAGTGCATCCTGTATACCGCAATTCATATATGGCCCTACTGAATGATTCAGCGTAACTTTTCCTTTCACACCTCCCTCTTTCCTCTCTTTACATCAAAATATCAACCAATGAATAGAGAAGTGGTATACGACTTGTACTTCACTTGTGTACCACATGACAACTAGGGTAAATTTCACTTTAGTCCTCCGGTAACTTAGATGACGGGAGGTTGCTCGTGGACAGGTGACGAGATGTTTTCGGCTAACGTTTAGTTTGGTAACCTATCGGAACTCCTCTGTTCTTTAAATCAAGGGAAATCAAAACTGAAGTGTCCAAATAGCTCCAGTGTTCCAAGTCATCATTCCAGCTCCATGCATATCCTCTAGTTTGACATCATTTGGTAATATTTCGTCATGCTTTATTTAATCATTTTTCGACTGGTGTAATTTTCGTTTCTATAACCATTCTTCGTTTCACAAAGTTTCCTTGCTGGATTTAGGCTCGTAGAGTAATCTGGGAATAGAAAAGCACAAAATGAAGTTAAAGATTTCTTAAGAAAAAAAAAAGCTCTATCTAAATAATATTACATAAACAAACAGGGCTGCATTCAATAATACCAGATTGACACTCAAATAGGCCTAACATGGTCTGGTGGTTCGGGCGCTCGATTTGCCATCAAAGAGTCGCGAGTTCGAATCCCATCGCTGAACATGCTCGTCCTATATGGTTGCCGACTGGACCAGACACTCGGGTGTAAAAAGTCTTGGCTTCCAAAAATACCGGCCGAATCCAAACTATTGGGATTAAGGTCCTAACGACATTACTTCAAAATATTAATAACACTATTAAGCATAGGCAATTTACAGTTGATAATTTAAAGCATGCTGTTTTTTTTCTTTCTGTCTACTAGTAAAATTCTTAACTGTTCCTTCTTTTTGGCAAGACAAGTCTATAAATGTGCCAGTTACAACTCCACTATCTTGAAAATAGTATTTTATTGTTTACAAATATTCTGCGTTACCCAAATATCTTGTCATTGGTCATGGTTTAAACAAAATATTTTTTATTTTGTTCAGTTATGACTTTTTTACACACTTAGATACACACAGAATACAAACATTTAGAGGAAATATAGGTGAATATATGTTAATATTATTTAGTAGTCTAAATATACCTTGTTAGTTTTTTGCATTATATTCTACCTTATATTTATTAAAACTAGAAAGATGCAAAGTAGTTATTAACTATTAATTATATTTAACCACGTAAGCAATTACAGAGACTATTTTTAAAGCTACTCTAATTAACTAACCTTTGAACAATCACCTTCTGTGACTATATTGTAATTGCGTGGTTTGGTTAGTAAAACAATATTATTAGATGCGAGCGTGGAAAAGACGTTTACTTAATTTTATGAATCTGGAGGATATATTTGTGTTTGTAAGCTGAATATGTTGACGTCTTTCTCTTTTAATGGCGTACAACACTTGTTGAGAGCTCAGTGTGCTAAAACTGTTGTGTTCATGACGAAACGCTCCAGGTGAAATGCTTGTCTCTATATTGCCGAATTAGAATGTTGTTTAATATGTGAAATTTTGAAGTGTAACTAAGTTTCATAGAGAAATTATTTGGTTTGTTATGGGTAGTATATCTTATAAAAAAAAATTGAGGTCATCAAATATTAGACGCCAAAAAATACGAAAGGAAAAAAAAAGTTAATTTCCAAGACATTTACATTAGTACTTTGTTTGTTAAAATAGAGAGTATAACAGGATGATTTAAACTCGTGATCGTAGGGTTTACTTGTACGTTTGTAATATGAAACCGGCCCCCATCCTCGTTGTGTAGTATTCTTTTGGAGTATCATTTACTGTACTGATAAGAAACTGTGATTATTAACTCGAAACATCGTTTCCAAACAACTACGACAGGTAATAACTATGAATTGTCACTTAATTTCTAAAAGGGAATGTTGAAATGTGTTCAGCAAAGTAAAAATGTGTTTATAATGATTCGGTAGTTTATTGAACAAAACTCTTAAACCTGAATTCATTGAAAGTGTTGTTATCTTTCTTATAGAAGTGGACAAGGAAAGAGTTAAACTAGAAAACGTCCCTTCAAATTTATATGAATCCGTATGTATGCCGGAGTTTGACGATTTTTTTCAACAAGGGAGCAGCTATCCGTTGCCAGAAACAAAGGTTATTCCTATCATGAACAACGGCACGTTATCAAATGGTATCCCAGTCTCTAGTGGCCAGCATTATATAGAAGGTAGGTTTTTCACAGCTATTACTTTTACACTTCATTTCCATAGACAGAAATAATACCACAATTACTGTTCTTTTCGGAATTTTAGCGTAAGGATACAAAAAGGGCTATCTGTGCATCATGTATTGCCGTCTATAATTAAACTGGTAGAACAGTAAGACAGCTAAGCTAGCTAGTCAGCAGCGTCCACTGTCGCCTCTTAGGCTACTCTTATCTGACCAGATAGTGGAATCTGATCGTCACTTTCATAAGCCCACCACGATTCCACAGTGCAGAGCGCGGTTCTATAGCGACAGGACGCGAACCGTAAACCCTCGGAGTCACAGTCCAGGAACGTTAAGCTACGGCCGACGTAGAAGTATGCCTATTTAATGAAAGTTGAAGTGCTCGAGTTTAACAACTTCACTTAGTTATATTCTTCAAGAGGAAGAAGGGATTATTTTAATATATTTGACTTTGCAAGTGCGACTACAATTAGTTTGTACTTAAACAGCTTTTTCAAGATAAATAATAAATAATGTAGATCGTAGTGGTCATGGAATATTGTGCACGAAAGAATGATTCGCAGAATTACTAATTAAACTTCTAAGGCAACATAAAATGATTATGGTATGGAATATTACCTGAAAGTTTCATTGCATTATATTGATGTTTTTGTGGACTACTAAAATTTTGTCATTTTAAAGTATGGTCGGTGTGTTATGTTTGTGTTGACTTGGACATTCCAAAAAAAGTCGACCGAACTTGTGGTGGCTAGTTGTGCTATTTCTGAATATTTTGACCAACATACGCGAGGGGCTTGTGATGTCGGGCCACTACTATCTGCCCATTAGCTGAAACTCTCTTCTGTTTGAGGGGCAGTAATTGTGTCATTACGTGTGGCTATGAGCCGTGATAAATGTGTGACTAGTGCGCCCTCTGTAACAAGATTATCCACTTCTCGCAGCGTACCACAAATTCGTGCATTTGAATATAAAACACACATTTCTTAGCTCAGTATTATGTATGACACTAGTAGCATTTAAAGCTGCAACTTGACGTAACATATTAAGATCGGGGTTTACAGTTATTTGTCTTAAATTGTCATAGACCTGTAGTCTAGATCAACACCCTAGGGATGGCGCGAAATGTATCCTGTGGAAGAGGTGGGGTGGGTGGGAGGTAAGGTTAATAGTACGTGCGTGTGTGTGTGTGTGTGTGTGTATGTATGTATGTGTGTGTGTGTGTATATATATATATATATATATATATATATTCTTTGCTAATAGATAAGCAGTATCACACATTTATGTTACTACGTATATTTACTTATTGCATATCTATTTGAAGCTATGGAATACTAACGTTTCATATTTACCGACTGTTACATATTGGCTTTTTTTTTTAAACTGATCTATGTATTGAGGACTTCAAGTATCACAAACAAGTGGGAGAAGAGCTCTGTCTGAAAAGTTTAAGAACCACTGGTTTATACGTCAATGTTTGTGATGTAATTATTTCTGGAACTAAATGCCATTGTCAATCATATCAAGTATATTTTCTGTAAACTGGTTCGTAGTATCTTGCTCTAATGTGAAATTGTAAGTTTTTTATATTCTCGAAACTTGTGTTTAATGTATGCATTTCGTGATATTCCATTCAGCAAGGCGTAACAAAAAGTCAAATATAAAGGCGATTCGCTATCAAATATCGCATTCGGCATCGTTTAATAAACGTTAAGCTAGTTGTAAAACAGTGATAATCAGTATTATGCGAGTTTCTTGGAATGTATTACATTTTGGCATATCATACGTAAGCATAACTTTCAGAAGACTTCTCGTCAGAAGATTTTATTTCAAGATTGTGTATTGAAAGTATAACTCTGGAACGTTTCTACCAGGAAAACGCCTTAAAAACCAAAATTGGACAGTTTTTGCGAGCGATTTTAGTATCCTTTTGTTCTAATATTATCGTGGGCGCTTATGTTATTTTAGCAGTCATTGGTGCTAACTAACAGCATTCATTGATGCTAACTAACGTATTTGGCAGCCTACGACTTCTGTTCGTGTAGAGACTAATGATAAATTATTACTCCAGTGCGATTGTGACCACCACGTGGCGTATGGGTCATAAGCTGTCGCAATTAAGACAGCAATTAACGTCGTAACTTGTTAGGTTGTTAGCCTGTCGAAGTGTAATTTCTTGAGACGTCACTTAGGTAAGGTTATTGCTTTTGAGTAATTCGACTGTTATTACTTACAACCTTTTATGTGATTGCCATAACCTCCCAAAGTCATGTGAGTTTTACTGTTAACGAACTTCAGAAACTCGAGGATGAGATGTAGCCCTGGTTGTTAGAGCGGGCCATTGTATTTGCTCCTCTTAATTTAGGCTACGTTAAATACAAAAAAAATAAAATATTGCATCAAAAACATGAAAATCACGCTTATGATATTGTATCAAAAACATGATAATCACGCTTATGATA